TGAAATTCATTTGTGATGCTCATATCCTGTAAAAACCCAGGTTGCAGTGACGCCGCGACCGCCCTATGGGGAGGAACATCTTCTTCTTCGCTTGACTCGGAAGACGCAGAAGAGTGATCGTCATCATCGAGCGCCTCCGGCAATCCCTCCACGTGTTCACTCATGTCAACGGCCGCAGATCAATATCCTGTGTCATACACAGGTTGGTCGCCCGTCGGTTCCGATGGGCCGATGCTAGGGGCTAATGTGATGGCCAACTCGACCTCACCGCCCCTGCTACTGCATCCGGCAACATCAGTGACTGAAATGAACTCCACATACACCATCGGCTGACCAAACACTGGGTTATTGGGATTGCTTGCAAACCTCATGTACGACCCCACGACTGATCACCTGTGACAGGCCGCAAACCCCAACGGGCAGCTGTCCCATCTTTTGCTCCGTCAGCGACGAAGGCCTCCATTGTCATTTTTCCCCCTGCATCCCTGGGCCAAACACCGCTCGGATGCACCTTCTGACAGCTGTGTAACCCACGTTCACCATGTCTCTAACTATAACTGTAGTCAACTCGCACAAGGACACATCCACCCCGAAAGGACCGTCCCGTAAGACGTTCCCATAGTACACTAATAAATTTTCCATAGTACCTAACCAAAATACATGTTTATATTTCAAACAATTAGTAACTGAACATTTAGTAGTAGTACGATGACAACATTTACATATCAGACGACTAAAATAATAATCGTATTTTCGTTACAAATATTCATTTTGTTTTTAGAATCATTTGCTTAGACTTTTCGGGGTTGTTTGGTCAACGGGTATTTAGAGATTATTTTTTTCTCAAACTCGTCTACGAGCGTCACAAATTAAAACTCTTTGCTTTTCTCTAACTACCCCAAAAATATCCTAAAATGATTCTCATAACATGCAAAAACTGAGCTTTTGAAAATACGACTATTAGTAAAAACTATTTTTCTTACAACAAGTTATGACAAAACCCATGGTAATTACTCGCTATCCAAACAACCAGTAAACATAATAGTATGATAATAACATTTTAATATCATATGAGTAAAACATTTAATTTCTTTTGGCTTTATATAATTTTTTCACATCATACGATAACAATCATTTATCTACAAATAATAATATTTGCAGCGGCATGCACATTATTCACAATAGTACATCAATACAAAAAATATTAACAAAATTACAGTGTCATTTTTTACCTTAGCTCCAATATGGATGTGCTTGCGAATGCAATTAAGCGTCAAAATAGTTCCAATAAATATCCGTCACCAGTACTATATGAACGAAGTCAACCTATTATCACATTAACATCAATATTACACACGGATTTTTCTTCCTGCTAACAAAAGTATGAAAATAGCACTTCCATGTATGTGTTCATCACCTCAAAATGGGATAGCGAAAATGAAAACACAATTTCTTCAATCACGTCTTCTCCTCGTTTGCTACTAAGATGAATTATTTTACCTAATTACATACATCATTAAGTACATTAGCACCTAATCTTAACATATAAAATTTAGATTATTGCGACATAACAAAGTAGACCTACGGTTTCCTAACTATAGACTTATTAATAAACATACCACATAAAATAACATACCACATGAAATAACATACCGCATGCAATAAACAATTACAGTAAATTTTTTTCTTAATTACCGTATTAAGATTTCCCGCATGTCAATACTAATGGACGCACCTAACATTGATGCAACATCTTCAACCTACTATTTTAAAAAATAGTTTAAATTCTACATCTCTCGTCTGAAATTATTTCAAACCTCTAAGCACTACCATCGCATAGCTAATATCGAGCTAAAGGACGAACTAATTACCACCATGCATGCACAAATAAATAAATGTATTGCAAAGCTCATACCTTGATCTTCAACTTCGTAGTTCACTTCGCTACACAAATCCTACTCCTGAAGCACTAAATGACTCTAAAAATTGATGAAATAATACCTAACACAATAGAGAACACATAGTTATGAACTAAACAAAAATAGTACAAACTGCATGCATGTGAACCAAACCAACAAAAATGGATAGATCTTACCTTCGTCTATCTTTTCTTCAACTTCAGCATATTCAAAATCCAACTCTAAATCACCCTAAATCACGAATGAAAATGCGTAATGAGTTTTGCTTTCTCTCTATTCTTACACGCAGAGAGTATAAGAGGAGGGCAGAGTGTGCTTGCGCACAAAGCATACGCATACTATATAAAGGAGGAGCATCCCTGTAGTGTCGGCACAACAGTTCCCGCCCGTGAAATTCGTCGTCCTCCGCGCGTGGGAATCAGCCCAGTTTGCAACAGCGAGCCCGTGAAATTCATCGTCATTGCGCGCGTGGGAATGAGGGAAGTTTACGTCGGAATCAGCGCCAGGAATAATCCACCAGTCTGCAACAGGACCGGCTGCCGGGCCGCATGCAGCGCGGCCGCCTCACCCGGTGGCGGCAGGGCCCGCTGTCTCATCGCGCGTGCAGCTGGCCTGTCGGCCTGGGCGCGGCATGGGCACGAGAGGCCGCCTCACCCAGTGGCGGCGTGGCCCACCTGGCCTCGCCCGTTACGTCGCGGCGCGATGCACTGTAGGAAAGCCGTTCGGCTGGGGTGGCCGCCTCCTGCGGTGGCGGCAGGACCCGCCGCCTCTTGGCGTGGCGGCAGGTGCCACGTGTCGCCTGCCGCGCCTGCCGCCACCGCTGAGGGGGTCCTTTTTGTCAAATTGATCCAGAGGTAGTCTTTTTTGGCAATTCATCTCGGCAGGGGGTCCTTTTGGACAAAAAATCCTAATTTGATGGCATAAATATTGGCATATTATTGTATAAATACGGTCAAACATAAAAATATTTTACTTTCTAACAAAGTTGGAATTACACTTTTTAAAGGACGAAGGGAGTATGGATATGTTCAGTGCCGCAAAAAGGTGAGAATTCCCGCTTGTAAATTAGGCTGTGACCCGCTAGCTAATAAATCTTACATTCTTAACAAGTTGATCCCCACTACTATCAATTCTCTCAACATGTGCATTGTCCACATAATAATTATACCATCTCATCATTTAGTTTGCAGCCTTGCTACATCAGCAGCATGCCACCTCAGCCTTTTCTCCACGAATCATGTGATTAAACTCCAGTAATTAATTGAAGCGGGCATGTTCGGTCTTCCACAATCGATGAATCGGTGTAAAAACTAATAAAAGAAGCCCATCGGTCCATCTCCATATCTGCATCTCCATATCTGTATTACTTTTTCGTATGTATCCTGCCAGAGTAGGCGACGCCCTCGATCCCCATCTTCGCACCACCGGACGGCGCCCTACAACCCAGCCGGCCAGCCCTCCGGCATTCCACCAAGGTAGCCCTAGCAAGATTTCCGGCGGCGGTGGCCAGCAGGGTGAGGGAAGGGTTCGGGCTATCAATTCAGGCAGGACGGACGGTCATCGGTGGCGGCAGTGGGGTGTGGCGGCTACTTCGATGGGAAACAGGGCGGCATGAGGGTGAGAGGAGAGGCACCAGTTTAATCGGCCGCGGCGGGAGTGAGTATATTTAGGGATATTTGGGGGATATTAAGAGTTGTAGTAATTTTTTCACTCTGCTATGCCGGTTAGGGGATCTCGGCTAGGTGCGCGTAAGGGAGTATAACCGAATTTTTACTTCCTTGTGGTCTTTTAGGGGATCGGTTAGAAATGCCCTTAGGTCATTTATTAGTACACTCTTTTAACCGATCCTCGTGGTTTGCGCGGGCAGCGGTGGCCGACAGGGTGATGGAAGGGTCCGGGCTATCCATTCCGGTAGGACGGACGGTCATCGGTGGGGCATGGCGGCTACGGCGACAGGATGGGAGGAGAGGCACCAGTTTAATCGGCTGCGACAGGATTGAGTATATTTAATTATATTTGGGGATACTGAGAGTTGGAGTAAGTTTTTTACTCCACTATATGCCGTTATGGGATCGGCTAGGTGGGCCATAAGGGAGTATAACCGATTTTTTTGCTTTCTTATGGCCTTTTAAGGGATCGGTTAGAAACGCTCTTAGGTAATTTATTAGTAAACAAACAAAAAATAGTGGTATTTGGCGCCGTTCATCCTTCCTGCTCGACACGACAGCGTCAGATCACTCGGGAAAAAATCTATTATGCAAGAGTGGGCAATGGGTACAGTACAGATTGGAGGTTGTAGATCTGGAATGAACAATGCGTGGCATCCTTGATGAAAAAAAATCTATTATGCAAGAGTGAGCAATGGGTACAGTACAGATTGGAGATTGTAGATCTGAAGTGAACAATGCGTGACGTCATTGATGAAAAAAAATTCTATTATGCAAGAGTGAGCAATGGGTACAGTACAGATTGGAGGTTGTAGATCTGGAGTGAACAATGCGTGACGTCCTTGATGAAAGCATGCATGCTCAATTGCTCATCCTTTGAACATGGTGGCAGGGCCAAATGCAACCGGGCGATACTCTACTCCCACGCCAAACAAATCATCTGGCCACGGATACTCGCAACACAGTTCTAATATGCACACGTTCCAACAACTCATTAGCGAGGACTAACAGCAAAAACAGGCATCCTAGATCCATCTACATTTGTAACAGCCAGCAGTTGGGAAGTTGACACGATCACATGGCTACAAGGTTGTGTCGAGGCCACTGTTTTCCCAGGTAAAGCGACGGTACGCATGGAATGGTCTGCTGCGATCTTCTATGGCATCTATCTATCCTCAGAAGCAACGAACCAAAGTACATCCGCACAACAAAAACTATTCGCCACATTGTTTTGCTGTCGGTCACGGGCGTCTTGCCTTCAGAGGAGAAGACAGTTCGTGTTGAAGCACACAACTTTACAAGTGCTCAATCTTCGTGGGCAGACGAGTAATCCTGGGAGGGAGGGGTCGGTACTCGGTAGGGACGGTACTGACTTGTTGACAAGGGCCTTGCACCGGGCGCCCATGAAGCCTTTTCACCTGACAACATATATGCAACTTAAAGGTCAGATGCCTATCGGGAAGCCAACTGCAATCATGCAGTGATGTATAGAAACCTCAATCATACAGCTCAGACAAGGATTGCCCTGCTTTGAGAGGCCCATCAAATGTGAATGACAACTTCACTTAGGAAAAATATCATCAACTGCTAGGCTTAGTTTCAACACCTCAAAACAGACAGCATAAGAAACCCATCCCCGTACTTCGAATAACGTAGCATGTCTTTTTGTTGCATCTACCTTAACAGTTTCCAGGCTTTCCTCTGTATTCTGCCCATGTGGCCATGTACGCACAACTACTCAACAATCCCATCAGTGCATACTGAATGCCCATGGAAAATTAGACATGATGAAACTATCCTAGTTCCAGTGTTGGGATATCTATTGTTTTTCATCATTCTGATCAAGTTACCACAGTTCATGCAGCCCTTTGTACCTAAGCATCTTCATCTAAATGTTCCAGATCTGACTCTAGGAGAAGAGCTAGAAATTATACATCGGTATGGGACGTTTTTCATTTTAGTCTTGGATGGACTCTCTTTAGGCTGTTGGAAACACATACTAGTTTTGGATGGCCATAAATTCATTCGTGCAAGATGCATCAGCCACAAAAAGGAACAAGAGGAATATTTTACTAAAGAAATATGAGCATGCCAAGCTTTTCTTTTTCAGAGGGTGCTATGCTGAAAAGACAATCTATATTTCAAATGCTCACCTCTTGGATTCCTTGCCCCATACCCCCTTCCTGCGTTCCCTGTTCCCATCGCGAACTCGTGAAGGATAGGGAGGGGGAGGCAGGTCAGCATTGGATTCCTTCTTATCCCTCAACTCAGTCAGCCGAGCACTCATCCTCTTCTTCACTGGAAGCGCAGGTCTTGTTGAAGCTGGTGTCATTTCATCTTCAATTGCATTTACAACAACCTTCACATCCTTGCCATCAAATGGAAATGTGTCTTCAAGGAGGACCAAATTCTTCAAAGAGCGAAGTAGCCCTGTTTAGCAAATAAAATATGAGAAAAATTACATATCATTCGTTGGTTTATTTTCAATTTGAATAAACTAGAACATATTTCTTACTTTCAGATGTTTTCACAGAGAGTGAATTATTCACTGGATGCTGGAGTAGTTCAATTCGCATGACAATATCTTTTCTTTCAAGAATTTGTACTTTAACTTGTTTAATCAAAATCTTCAAATCTGATATTGCCTTGGGGAAATCAGATTCTACAGAAAATAAAAACAGAGTGGATCAGGCACAAAATATCTATGAACAGATGAAGAAACTACCCTATAAACAAATGAAGAAGAAAATACACCAAGCTCGACCTTCGTTCCAGTTACCATCTAGTCCGGCTTATACAAGAAAGAACAGGGGACCAGCTGACATGTAGGAATAGTCAGCTCTAGCAAATATGCAGCTTGAGGACAAGCTGCTTCTCTGAGAAGGGGAGTAATGTTGTGTCATCTTAGAGTCCAGTTGTCTCTTACATGGACCCATCTTAGTCCAGAAGTATCCAGGGTGTGTGGAATTACTTTTCAGTGAACAGTAACTGACCTAAAGGGTCTATATAAGGATGTATCCTCATAAGGAGGGCAAGTAATGAAATAATGTATTCCCTACCCCTGCTTCTCTTTTAGTACCTCCCTAATTCTCCCATCCTTTCCCCACTACCCCTCTACTGTATCACAGCACCTACATGGCGACAACCCTTGCGTCCAACAATTGCCCCATACTACAACCTCCCTAGCAAACTTCCGGCTGCAACATTATGTGCAATGATCTGCCTGTTAAACACTCTGAATATGTGCGAAATTTGAAACGATTAGCAGTTCTAACAAGTTTATATGTCAGTTGGAACACATATCTTAACTTTAAAATTTTCTGGATATAAGATAACAATACTCAATAGAATCTCGCCAAAATACAGAATTAGGCACTTGAAGAATAACCTGATCATTTTTTTTAATGGATAGCAATGAGCTAAGGACCAGGTTAACGAAAAAAACTAGTATGCAAGTTAACAGCGTAATAAGTTACTAGCCCAATGCAGGCTTGGTGAACTAGACCAGCAGTTAACTTGCAGCAAACCAAGAACAGAACAGAGCCAGAGATCCCATCAAACTATAATCCTAAAGACAAGGTGATTGACAAACCATTTTATTTTAGCCTTCTGATAGAGTAGTCTGATTTGACTAACGAAATCAGCTCATTCATTATCTATGCAGACCAGTGTTGATTTCAGCATTCATCGCAAACAGGCAGAAACCTCTGTTTGAAAAAAACAAAGAAAAATGAGGCAATTCACAGCCAGGACAAATCTCGTCACGCCTAGCTAGGCTCAGCCCAACCTAATCTTCCAACCCTAGCTCAGCCAACTGGGCTTTAGGATTGGGCCTGAGGCCGGCCTGCTCAATGCAATAGGGAAGCCAGAGCGGCAGCACCAAACAGATTTGCTGATCATGGTTTGTTTTAGCGAAAAAGGGAACCCGGATTGCGAAACAGGCATTAATGATGAGCATAATCTATATGCCATAGAAGTAATTGCATCAACATGTTCGAGTACCTTTTTTCTTGGGATCAAATTTCATGTCAGCAGGCACCATGTGGGTTTCTTCAAGCAATTTCAGCAATTTCTGTTTTTTACCCAAGTATATCTTCTTCTGTTTGGCAACCATAGAAGCCTCCAAGATGTTAATCTCTTCAGTTGCCTGTATACAACGCAAGTTTTTTTCAGATCATCAGGTGGACCCATATAAATGAAACCATGGGTCCACAAGATTCAGTTATTGCAGAAAAATAACAAAGCAAGAAATAAACAGTGTTTGCTACAGATCAGGCCTTGCAACAGCACATCGCCTATGAAACACATTCATACACCTTAGAAGAAGGTGTACAATGCAAGTTTATACGACCAAAAATAAAACTGGGCACAGCGCCTATGAAACACATTCATACACCTTAGAAGGTGTACAATGCAGGTTTATATGACAAAAAATAAAACTGAGCACAGCACCTATGAAACACATTCATACACCTTAGAAGAAGGTGCACAATGCAGGTTTATATGACAAAAAATAAAACTAGGCACAGCGCCTATGAAACACATTCAAACAGCTTAGAACAAGGTGTACAACGCAAGTTTATATGACCAAAAATAAAACTGGGCATGAATAAACATAAAAAAGCTACCAAGATCTTACTTTATTGATAAGTTCCATGGAAAGTGACTTCTCATTGGTCAATTCATTTGCGGATTCAGCATCTATGCAAGCAAAGGCTTCGGCAAACTCCAAGATATTTTCTGGACCAGTATTGTGGAACTTCCACAGGTCTCGAAGCTTCAACCCCAAGGCTTGAAGCTGCCATTCATAAAATTAATAAAACCATGAGTGTAAACAGACTTTTATGCTTGTTTAGTTGATACTCAATTGGTCTTCTTGACCGTAGCAATTATCGCTTACTCCCTCACCATTTCTCCTCTGTTATATCACAAATTTGCAACTCAAGCCTCAATTAGTATGCAAGCTGTGCCACAACAAGGGAACGCTGCTACACACACACACACACACACACACACACACAAACACACGATAATTTCTGGACGATTTACGCACGACGCAGCACATCAAGCCGTCAATGCATAGAGCAAAACTGGGTAGCGCCGTTAGATTCTCCATCGTCCAAAGTTGGACCAGGATCTATCGTCCGCAAAGTAGTTTGGTTCAGAAAGCCATGAGATAGTAAGTAACCTCATCCCCTTCCATTCCACGAAGATGCTGGCGGATAGATCCTGAAAAACCTGCGGCAAGGAGCAGCCGACCCTCTTCCCGAGGCAGCCCTCTGCCGCTGCCCCTCACGCAGACGCCGCCCTTTTCCGCTGCCCCTCACTCCGTTGACCAGCAGAAGAGGGCGTGAGGAGCAGCAGCTCGCCCGCGGCCCCTCACGCCCTCTTGTGCTGGTCACCGCGCCGCTGTCCACTGCCGCCGCCCCAATCTGCTACCGCCTTCGCCGCTGCCCCCATCCGGTACAGCACTACTCCCTCCTGCCGCCGCCAGCCAAGGCCTATTGCTGTGGCAGTGTTGATCCCCGGACCCGTATGCGATGGATCTGATCTAACGGACAGGAACGAACGGGGCGCGCGTGGAGATGATTGAGTGAACGCTCGCTGAATACACACTCTGTTGCTCTTAAACCCACCATAACCCCCATGGCATCCCTCGCATCTCCATCCAAGAGAAGACGATCGCAGGTGGAAGGAACACGGAACCATGGATGGCGGGCGTCCATCCATCCAGCCCCAAATTCGAAACCCACGGCATCCAAACTCCAAATTGAAAAACCCATGGCACCCGAATCCAAATTGGAAACCCACGGCATCCAGCCCCAAATTCGAAACCCGTGGCATCCAGCACCAAATTCGAAACCCGCGGCATCCAGCCCCAAATTGGAAACCGACAGCATCCGACCCCAATTTCCAAACCCGTGGCATCCG